CCATATAAACAGAAACGTTCTTGTCAAGAAAGATGGAGCAACACAGTAAGTAATTAAGAACACTGGCCAATATTTATTGTTGACTTTAACAGTGAGACAAAATAATATGAACGATAAAACATAATGAACAAAATATTTCCACTTAAGATATCAGAGGAGCTACAACAAAAGAAGTGGAAGATGGGCAGTTCATCCTGTGAAAGAGAAGAAAACTTTTCCGTATATCCCATCGTTGCAGGAGAAGATTCTTTTGTCAAGAGTGACAGATGAAGTAGGGATGAACCAACCCGTCGTGCTGGAGGTAGATGATCCAAGAAGATTGTCATCTCATCTGGCTCCAATCCCACCCCCTCCCACTGAACAGCTTGTTGTTGATCAGAAGTCAAGGTTTCTACAACAAGAAAGAGACAATTGATATGTCTTGAACAATTTCTTCTACATCTAAAATAAAACACTATAGAATATAAAATTTATTGAGTCATTTTAAACTGTTTACATGTAGCTAGGATAATGTTGTTAACTCACTTTATCCAAGTCGTCCTCCAATGAAGCCCCTATATTGCCCAAATGTGTCTGGAAACTTGTCCCTTATTCTCCATACACAACAACTGGGAATCACCCTTCTATTTCTTGCACCAAGGTGACCATGGTGCCAAAGAATAAATTGTCGGTAGGCTGCATGTCTGTTCCCTCTGTTGGTATCTGCATCAGGGGCGGCAGCAAATATGTCCTCACGGTAACGCCGGGCGACAATGAGAACAAGGTCATCAAGGACGACTCTTTGAAAATCCTGAAAATATAATAAATATTGAATAAGTTTTTATATAAACTTAAATTTGTAACATTAAAACCTTTTCATCTGTATATCAGTAAATTGAATTTCTTACTGGAACAATTGAGTAGCAGTTTAATGGAGTCTGTCCACAGCAAAGCTTTTCAATTTCTGTTGGCATCTCTCTGCAGTGATTGCAGGTGCACCAGCTAGGTATGCCATCTGATGGTTGTGGGTGGTACCCTTGCCTCCTTTCATGTTGGGAGGTCTCGTTCAAAATGTCAAAGATAAATGTTGGGTTCCTGTTGCATATAGCTTGAACAAGGTTCCTCAAGCTATCCTGCTCAAGGTTAGATATGGTTTCCTAAAATGATGATACGTTTGTGATAAATAATTCTGCTCCCTTTCAGCTGCAAGTCTTTCAGCAACAGTTTCTTGGGCGATTCTTCTTCGGGCACCCACTCCTCTTCCACCTCGCCCACCTCTTGTCCTAACTCCCCTCGGGCGTCCTCCTCTCCCACGCCCTCTGCCTCTTCCCCTCCCCAAATCTGAAGAGGATGAGGATTCTGGGGATGATGGTGATGTCTGTCTTGATAAATTAATATTCTATAATAAAAATAATATCATTCTTAAAAATAACATGCCGATATATGTATGGGTATATAATTTGATCCTCAATTACTCAATATTTTAACTGTGAAAAATATTAAGTTAAAATCTCAACAAATTTTATTTAATGAATTTAAATTTGCAATTGTTAAAAACTATATAAATCATATCATTTGAATTGTTTTGTAAGCATAGGCGTATACAGTAAATTAGGAGCAGGCTTATTAAATTGTTTTTTTTTTCTGATAAAAATCTATCAAAGTGTGTATGTAATTGTTGATGTGTCTTGTAAAAATTACATATATAAATATTTTAAATTCAAAACTTAAAAAGCTCAACATCAGTTTCAAGTTCGAGATTTGGAAGTCTTTTTGAAATTTGAATTCAATGATTACTTATCATGCTTATGCTGTCTTATTCATATTATAAAATGATCAAACCTTGTTTAAAATTCCCCCCTCATTATTTCATCATCTTTTGTAAATGTATGACAAAAAGGGGAATTTTTTTAGTTTAACATAATTTTTTTATGTCTGTTTTCAATCAGAAACACAAAACTGCAAACATAACTATACTTTCTATAATGTTGTTGATTGATGAGTTAACCCTTATGAGGCCCCTCACATACTATAACCCGATGGAGGTCACTCTGTTCAACTGAGGTGTGTTTTAGTAATATATAAAAGTAAATATAACTTTTTTAAGTATAATTTTAAGGTTCTCTAAGCTTTAAATATAATATACTTACCTCTTCTGTCTCCATTCTCTGCTACTAAGCATCCAAAGTGAAAATGATAAGATGGTCAGCATCTTCCTGCTGAGTCGGCTATCTTCGGAAATCATGCCGAGCAATAATGAGGGCAGTAAACAGACTTCACAGATGGGTGATAATATTTATCAATTCTGTTAATCAGCAAACTTCTTTTAGGTTTGCAGTGATAAGGGATTGTCTTAATAATGTATTTCACACATAAACATGCTAATTTATTGCTTATGAAAATAGCGTTCAGACCTTAGAGACTATTCCTTTAAAATCTAGAATTGAGTTTTTAAACCCACGCATTCTTGAATTTTTCTCTTTGCCCGAGATTATCATATACCCAGGGTTCTCCATCATTTGAGATTTTACTGTGTTGCAGAGTTGACGCGAAGCACCAATATTTTGCAGTATTTTCGTGACTGAATAAAAATTCATTATAATTTCGAACAATTATAAGCACACACTTATTTAAATATCGCCAATTCGTTACACAAATGGTATGGTGTTACGTACTGATAAAAGGAAAAAAAGTTCGGAAAAGCAGAGGAAATTCTGACTGATATTCGAACTTCCTAACATTTTTGAGAAAGTAAATTTGCCGCGTTTATTTATCAGGTTTCTTGATCGATTTACTGCATTACAAAAAAGGAACCTCAGAACAGTAAACGTGCTGAATTTCAAAATTTTCGGCAATTTATTTACATCAATAAAATGACTTCGAAACGATATCATGTTTGACTTACAGTGCTTACATAATTCTAGAGCCGTGGCTCTACAGGAAAGACATATTAAAATATTTTTCACAAGTAATGCAGTTATATTTTATTGCATCTACCACTTAACCGGTACATGGAGTTGTGAAAACAATTTGTCTTTGTTCCGTCATGCGTTAAGTCCAGCGAGGGTCTACGAGATAATTGATCATGTTGATTGACTACTCAAGGTGAAGCCCTTGTAATTAAGTGTTATAACTTTTTGAATTGAAAAACGGTAGAATTGTTTGATTAAAGTTTCAGTTAGATAGAATTTGTGTGTTTAGACTTTCTAAATATCACAACTCTTACTGTGTCGGCAGATTTTTTACTGTGTCGCATGCATGAAATTTGAATCGTTACTGTGTCAAAGAAAATTTTACTGTGTCGGGAGCAACACAGTAAAACAGCTCATGGAGAACCCTGATATACCGTTCTATGGTTTAGATTGACCTTTCCACTCTGCGAGTAGAGTTTTGACGCTGTTTACAAGGAAAAGCAAACTATATATGGTTGTGTAGATAAATTATCGTAGATGACATAGGTATAAACAGTTTACCCATACATTTCCTCTGAGAGTGTAAATGAGCGCGATTCAAAGGGAGAAGGGTGGTCGGTGTAAATTGGAGTTATATACCTTGTGTTAATATTATACTATGGGTCAAAAATTTATTACAGAAACAAGTACCTGTGAGTCAGGTGTATCTTTATCTATAGCTGCAGAACTGTAGAGTTATGAGACATATGTTAGTCTTTGACTATAATATTAGAGATCCCGTAATGCAAAGAATGTGCAATATACGGTGCTAGATTCTTTGCAGAGTTTAGGAGAATTTCTCTACTTTTCAACTTTAATAAATCATCTACCTTTCACCCCCTAATTCCAGACACAATCTTTAACAAATGTGTATATTTTATCCTTCTCTCAACCCTTGATAGTCGTCTCTACAGACGAAAAACTGGCTTGAATTGAATTGTCTGAGGGATTGCAGGAAATTCTAATTCAATCAAGTTTATCGCTTGCAGAGACAACTATAAAGGATTGAGAGGTTTATAAAATATACTGATTTATCTGAAAATGTGTCTAGAATTATGGAAAAGTAGAATATAATTTCCATAAATATTTGAAATTGTAGAAATTCTTCCAAAACAGTGTACAAAAAGTCTTGCCCCGTAAATTGCACATTCTTTGCATTAAACGATCTGTAGCATTATGGTTAAAGACAATTATATAAAACCATAACACTACAGTTCTGCAGCTAGTGTATCAAATGCGAATGGTATATTCCAGTGCCGATATCAAGGATTATATACTGATAATCCAATATCGTGTTTGCCTATTTAGTTGTGTTCAGCTTTAAGGTCCAAGACCAGCACTTCATAAACAAATTTTGACAATCCTGTTAAATTGGTATTTAATCCCTTTGTACCTGTCAAAAGCCTTGACTCTGGCGAGGAGCTTCTTGTTGTTCCTGCAGTTAATGAGGACCTGTGTGTTGTTCTTTACGGACTGTGTGAGGACAGACAGAGGACCTGTGTTAAACTCTTCCTGCTCTCGCTGTGCCAGCTCCTCTGGCGTCATCTCACTTTTCGGCTTCTGCATTAGGGCCCTAAAATAAAATGCTTTAATGATGAAGTAGACTGGAGTGTTTTAAAAGTCAGGTAGAATCTGATTATGGAAATCTGCAGTCTGAATACAGTTTACACCAGTCTGCAAAAATCGTGGTAACTTTTCAGACACGCTTGGCAGTTAAAGGATCTTAATAATAAACAAAGCAGAAACTTTGAGTTGCATGCAGTGCTATGGATGACATTTAGAGTTAAATGACGAGAGCATTGTTTTTCCTGTACAAGATACTGTCATCATTGCACTGGAAGAAGTAAGCCGGGTTTCTGCATTCCATGCTTACAACAATGATGACCGAAAAAATCAACAAAGAATCTTTTAAAATCCTTGACAGTCATTAAAAGATTATATTGATGGTGAAAAATGGTTACATACGTCATTTTCTTGCAGGATGGCTTAAGATTGTTCAAAAATGTCTTTGGCGGCTTCTCCTTTTGTATACAAACGGAAACGCAAAATGTACGTTTACTTCTTTTGCACTTGCGCAGTTAATCACTTCCGCTTTCATTTTCGCTCTGCTGTCAACATGTGAGTGGCTGGATTAAATTTTCCTTATTTTTTACTGTATTGTGTCACATATATAGAAATTTTATATCTATTCGTTTATTTATACTTGTAATAGGCCAACAAAGATAGACAAATTTTAAAATTAAGCCCGACTTTTTAAAATCTGTGATGTTCGAATTTCCTCTATTTTTTCTTTCTAAGATTTGTGGATGAAATATTCACATTATTCTTGGATGACAATTTTATACGATAATTAAAATACACTTTTTAAAATCTGACTTGGATACCGGCAAGTCAATCATGATAATTTTATTTAATGTTCACCATTGCAGACTATCAGAACAATGAAGATTTCTAGGACTGTACAGTTAGGCGTGGTAGTCGCCATTCTAGCCGCTATAGTGTCCTGTGAGGACAAAGAAGAGAAGAAGAGGAAGCTCCAGATCGGCGTGAAGAAGAGGGTGGATCCAGAAAAATGTACCATAAAATCAAGGAAGGGGGATGTTCTGAAAATGCACTACACAGTAAGATCCTGGACATAAAATCGGACATTCAACAAGTCAAATTTTATTATGTTTTACGATGTGGCCAGTGGGGTGAAAGCAATTGTACAATCAAAAACACACTTGATACATTGACCACCCATTTCAAACGTTAAGTCACACAAGACTTCAAAACTAGCTTTGACGACATATGAGGTAACAGAGCTTGTCAGAGCTTACAGAGACAGCCAAATGTCTGGTTGAAACTTTTAAAAGACCATGTGCAATTTTTGAGGAAAGACATTTCATACAGTATTTTCTTGTTTTTTTTTTTGTAAGATTTCTATAATCCCAAACCCTTTTATGTTTCATGTTATTTATTTATCTGCCATTGTTGCCTGGAATCCTGGTAGCAAAGGAATTCTGGGAAGGTTTCACACAATAATTTGCTTGAAGTTTGTCAATCTCTCACCAGAGGGCGCGCTCCGCTTACACCTCTGTTGTCGTCTAAAAAGTAGTTCGGATTGCCAAATTTAATAAATGTCAACAAAAATCGTATAAATATGATTGTTTTGTATGTTTTGTCAATGATTTTACGTGTTTTAAGCTCTCTGGTAGTAAATATTTTCTAACTCTGTCTCCTTGGTTTCAAAATGAAAATGTGTGTAAAAATTCCAAACAAAATAGTGCCGTATATATTGAAACTATTTTAATATATATCTAAATTTTAAAAGGACAAAAGAAGTGCTACACATTGATATTTCTTATTTCATTTTAAAAAAATTACCAAGTTGGTGGGAATCTATAATTTATTTTCGTTTTACAAGATTCTTGTAATTTAGACGATAACAGAGGTGTTGGAGCGGAGGAGCGTAAACGCCCTCTGGTGAGAGATTGGAAGTTTGTACAGATTTCATTTGGAATTACCTTTTTTTATGAAATGTTAGTCTATTGAGCTAGCTGCGCTCGCTAGCCTATAATCAATCTTAACTGCAATGCACATGTAGATTAAGTTATTTTAATAAGCCAAAGCATCCATGCATAGACCAAGATTTTAAGGTTCTTAAAAAGTGAAAGTTTAAAATAAATACATGTGTCCAATCCCTTCCAAATCTGAAAAATGAAGCCTTTGGAGAGTTTCATTGCTGGAGTCAGTATTCTGCTTCTGAATGGCTTTGTGTGAACTAATCAAAGCATATACTCACAGTTTATATAACTTTTTTATAGGGAACACTGGAAGATGGCACAAAATTTGACAGCAGCTTAGACAGAAATGAACCATTCAAGTTCACCCTTGGGTCAGGACAGGTGATCAAAGGCTGGGACCAGGGACTTCTGGGGTAGGTGATAGAACTCAGTGTGACCCACAGTAAAATGTCCCAATCCAAGGGAATATCTAGAGCTCATTGTGACCCACAGTAAACTGTCCCAATCCAAGGGATATCTAGAGCTCATAGTGACCCACAGTAAACTGTTCCAATCCAAGGTATATCTAGAGCTCATAGGGACCCACAGTAAACTGTTCCAATCTCAGTGATACCTAGAGCTCATTGTGACCCACAGTAAACTGTTCCAATCTCAGGGATATCTAGAGCTCATTGTGACCCACAGTAAACTGTCCCAATCTCAGGGATATCTAGAGCTCATTGTGACCCACAGTAAACTGTCCCAATCTCAAGGATATCTAGACTTCAATGTGACCCACAGTAAACTGTCCCAATCTCAGGGATATCTAGACCTCATTGTGACCCACAGTAAAATGTTCCAATCTCAAGGATATCTAGAGCTCATTGTGACCCACAGTAAAATGTCCCAATCTCAGAGACATCAGGAGGCATTTCATCCAATTCTTACGTGTAACTAAGTAACAATAAATTCATTTTTAAATTTTAAATTACTTAAATGCAAGATAAGCATTTAAGTTCACTTGTGATAAGAATTTCAAGAAAATTTTAATAAAATTGATAAATTTTCAGGATGTGTGAAGGAGAGAAGAGGAAGCTGGTGATCCCGTCTGACATGGGGTACGGAGACCGGGGAGCTCCGCCCAAGATCCCACGTAAGTCAATAAATAGCTCGTTAGGGCCCCGCAAGGATTTGCGGGTGCCCTATAGTAATCACTCTGTCTGTCCGTCCGTCCGTCTGTCTGTCTGTCTGTCTGTCCGTCTGTCACTCTTCCGTCCACAAATTTTCTGTTTTTTTCTAATAACTTTTTTTATGGTTGCCCAATCAAGTTTAAATTTGGTATGGTAGTTTAATAGGCAGAAAGACATATTTTGATGCTAAGTTTGATTCTGTATGTCTTCTAGTTTGGAGCTGGGGTGGTGGGGTAGATTCCTAAACTATGCATAAGAATTAACGGGCAACTTTTTTTATGGTTGCCCAATTAAGATCAAATTTGGTACGGTAGTTCAGTAGGCAAAAATACATATTTTGATGCTAAGTTTGGTTCTCTATGTCCCTTGGTTTGGAGCTGGGGTGGTGGGGTAGATTCCTTAACTTTATATAAGAATGCATTGGCCAAGAGAGATAACTGCTGAAGATGTTCCCATTCAGTAAACTGAATGCTACTAGGAGTCCCATGAGATTAATTAGCTTTCCTCCTGAAGAAATTCCAGAGCATTATCTTTATCTGTCACTTTGAGATTAATTACCACCTCTGTCTGCAAATGAAGTTTGTTTTGAAGTTAAATCAATTTGGAATTCTATGAAATACTCTGATATGTGGATTTAAATATAAATTTTTATTATTTATTTTTGTTTGATAGTTATGATTTCATTGAATCCTAAAAAAAGAAATAGATTAAAGAAGATTTTTTGATTTACCAGGGTACTTTTTTTTCACTTTTTTCCTTTTTTTTTAAATATATTAATTCAAGAATGTTTTTAATTTTTAATGTAGTTGTATAAAAACTCCGTTCTATCATTAATACTGAAAAAAGTCCTTATTGTAACTTTAGAAGAAAATGATGAGAGAGGTACAATTAATCCCTTGGGATTAATTATCTAGCCTGCTGCAGAAAATTTAGTAGGCTTCTCTTTATCTGTCACTTTAAGATTAATGAAAACCTTTGTCTGCAACTGCTGTTTGTTTGAAGTTAAGGTCAAGCCTTCATGATATTTGCATTCATTGAAGGCTGGCATTTTATATAACACAAGATTCATAATTGTTTAAATATAAATTCAATGTTAATTTGTTCTTTACTGCCTAATGACAATAAATACAAGAATATTATTTTCAGGTTTTTGAATATTCAGGAATTATGTTGAAATTTTAAGAATACAGTTGCTGTTGCTTTTTCTTTGTACATTTATTAATCATTCTGTAAGCTGCACCCTTTTAATTCTACCCCATGGCGGGGCCCTTGCTGACTGGTCAGTTTTCTAGTTACAGTACAAGATCCCACGTAAGTCAATAAATAGCTCGTTATGTTTACAAGATCCCGCGTAAGTCAATAAATAGCTCGTAACGTTTACAAGATCCCTCGTAGGTAAATAAATAGCTCGTTATGTGTACAAGATCCCGCGTAAGTAAATAAATAGCTCGTTATGTTTACAAGATCCCACGTAAGTAAATAAATAGCTCGTTACGTGTACAAGATCCCGCGTAAGTAAATAAATAGCTCGTTACGTGTACAAGATCCCTCGTAGGTAAATAAATAGCTCATTATTATGTTTACAAGATCTTCGTTAGTAAATAAATAGCTCGTTACATTTACCAGATTTCTCTTAAGTAAACAAATAGCTCGTTATTATGTTTACAAGATCTTCATTAGTAAATAAATAGCTAGTAACGTTTACAAGGTCCCTCGTAAGTAAATAAATAAAATCATTTATTTGCGAGAAGTTCATTTTTAGCCTAATTATGCTTTTAAGTTCTTTTGGAGGAGAGAAACTTTGGCTAATTCAACTACAATGCTAAATGTCTTGTACATGTATACATAATAGAGAATATTAGTAAATGTTCTGATTGAAATCTACACTGTTCAAAAGTCTATTTCTTCAAAATCTTGTACACGCTAAATATAATACATTTACTGTAAATCCATTCCCAAGAACTGCATTAGACTAAGCATAGATGTACATGATTGAGTAGATTATTAAGTATGGAATTCTGTCTCATCTACAGTTAATATTTGTTGAGGTGAGCTTTGTAATCTCTGAAAACCTATTTTATTTTTTTGTACCAACATTTTTTTTGACCTTATGACCTCTTGAGTTTTGAAATAAACTTTAACCTTGGCCTTTAGCTGGCGTTCTGGGCATTTGAGTGTTTTATTAGCACATCTTATTATACTATAGATTGCAAAACATACGCCAGGATTTCATTATTGTGTAATTTTGCGAGAGGAACCAACATCGCAAATTAAAATTATTTGCTTTCGGTTTTTAAAATGCTGAAATCAAATGTACTAATATCTCTTGAATAACCGTCCACTTGGAAATTATTGATCTGGCTATTTGATGTTCAATAACCAAAAATAACCATTTCTTGATAATAAGGAATGTATAGTTACTGTAGAATAATACTATATACAGTAAATCTTGGTTATAACAAAGTCACTGGGACCTATGGAATTACTTCGCTTTATATTATTTTAATTTGCTATATCCATACATGTATAAGGAATTCATTAAATTTATATAGCTGGTAATCCAAGAATCCGTGTTCGTACTAAACGAGTTTTGCTGTATAAAGTGAATAACAATCTAATTAAAATTAGATGTTAGATCCTCTCACATACTTGCTACACTAGCATCTAACAACATTCCATAGAGGGTCACGTCAGATGTCAAATTCTATCAACCAATTAAATGGTCGCCTGCAAAATCATTTTATATTAATTTTGTTGACGTAATCAAAGTGAATAAATAACTATAGAGTTGTTCCGAATTTGACCTTTGATGTGACCCTCTATGGGTGAATAATCCAGATCTCACAAGTTCCAAAGATACAACATTCTGCATTGGACAATGTAACATTTAGAACACCTGAATTTATTAAAAGGCAAAAAAAAAAAAAATTAATTTCTTGGTTCTCAGGCCCTCCCTCATCTCTTCTAAGGGTGCCTCATTGACCCTTTTATTGCTAAATCAATAAAATATAAACACCAAATCACCTCCCTCATCATTTTTGAGGTTTTGTACAATGTAAAAAGCTGCCTCATCATGTTTCGGGGGCAATAAAAAAGAAAAAAAAATGCCTCCCTCCCTCATCATATTTCTTGAAAAAAGGCCTGAGAACCAAGTAATTAACTTTGCATGGCCGAATGTTTACATCCTATTTGTTATTTGGCAAGATCTCAGAGTACACTGCTTCTGGATTAGACGAGTTTACCTTTATAATTATGTAAAATAATGGGTTTTTTTAATGTGCCTGACCAAAACATTTCTTAATGAATTGAAAAGGTCATACTTTTAATTTTTTTTTCTTTTCAGCCAAAGCTGTACTTATATTTGAGGTGGAACTTCTAGGAATCGAGAGAAATGATGAACTCTAATAAAAAATGTGCATGCAGTGCTAATTTATCAACCAGTGGCTTTATCATGTAGCTTTCTAAATATGTGATTATTCATTTTTGTCTCTTTGAGAGTGGAAGTCTTTTGTTTTGTAGATGAACAGAGAGAATGTGTCATTAGATATTTTAAATTTTCATTTATCTCAATTGTCAAAGTGATGACACATTATAATTCTTCATTTTATACCATTGGAATTCAATTTGTATTTAAATGTTTACCAAAATTAAAGACTTAACAATTTATTTATAGCTTTATCATATTTACCAAGGACAACTTTGTAATCTTTAGTTACAGTGAACTATGAAATTAATCCAGAAACAGTATAACTGTGGAGCATAATATCCAACTCAGAAAGTGATGACATGGTATACAGTATAATCATGTGGAGCAAATATCCAACCCTTAAATTGCTGACATGGTACACAGTATAAGTTTGTGGAGTTATTCAACCCACAAACTGATGACACAGCTACACAAAATGATAATGTGGAGCACACCTATGTCATTTTATACTGTAACTGGCAGGGAGAAGGATGTGAGCAGATCAGATCAGATTGGGATTTAAACCTGGGTCATTGGAATCTCAAGTCAGGTGCTCTAACAACTTAATCCCTGTTGAGATTCTGCTAGGCTATATATTTGGACTGACATCGCGATGGCGTCAGTCCAAATATCTAGCCTAGCAGAATCTCAACAGGGATTACTAACAACTAAGCTATCAATCTTGCCACTGGCTGCAATCAAACCCATCCTTTACATTCCTCCTCCCTCCATACAGGTACATGTATTTACCCCTGAAGACACCAACCTAGGTTCTTGAATCTTCCTTGGCGTCTTTCTTCATTCACTGTCAGGGCATGACACGGCATCAAATACCGTAAATCTGGAAATTTTTGCGTCGATTTTATTTTGCGAATTCGGGTCAAAATGCTGTTATTAATTTTTACGTTTCAAAATTTTGCGAATGACCACTGCTTTGTTGACATTTTCTTATTGGTAATTTATTCTTAAGAAAAATATTTTAGCGATTGCAATGAGCTCACAAATTTGCTGAAAATTTATCTACAGCAAAAATTTCCAGATTTATGGTATAACAGGAGACGAAAAATGTGAATGGATCAGATTAGGATTTGAACCTAGAAATTTTTGCCAGGTGCTTTACCAACTGAAATTTCTGGCAAGCAGGGATTGAACCCATGTGAACCTAACAACACAGTATGATGATTTGGATCAAATATCGAACCTAAAAACTGATGACATAGTATATATGTTATTTTTTTTAACATATCAAAAATTCATTGAAAAATTGTTTTAATTTATAAATAAAGTGAAAGATTAATAATCACTGATCCCGAAAGCTTTCTCATATTTAGCGAATAATAAATTCTAAATTTATCACTATAACAGAGAGTCACACTGACAGCCATAGATCATTAGATCAAACATTACACGTCATGTCTTGTTAAATCTCTCGCGCCCGCTAACTAGACATGATATGGCTCTTTGGATCAAGCTCCTCTATCATGATATATAATTCCAAAAAAATTTGGTATTTGCATGGAGCAGTAGTTAGAGCTTCTGTTCTGATGTTGAGATCGGTGCATCGGATAAGACTGTATAAGTACAGTTGAACTTCGGTATATCGAACTCCGATATCTCAAATACCATGGATATGTCGAAGTGATTTGGAAGTCCCAACTACATACATGTATTCTTTAAGTATTTAACCTTCAATATCTCGAATCCCCGGTTATCTCGAAGTTTTTTCTCAGTCCCATCAGGTTCGAGATAACAAAGTTTGACTGTATTATCATTATATGACAGTAACTTGATCCAAGGGACTATATCACATCGAGTTGATCGACAAGTCCAGATCATCAGGTCAAATGAGACGTGAAGCATCAAATTTTGAAAGAATTTTTAATGTGATAGAAAAAAAATGTCGCATTTACTTTGTATTATGTCATCCGTTTCAGAGAGAGGAGATATGGATTCAGAAAATTAGTGTTGTGATCCTGAAAGTCGGATCACAATGCCACATGATTATGTTAATTGGATCAACTCAACACAGTTGGGAATACATATAACAAACCAAGGTCCCATGTCCCATGAAGATCCCTCACAGCTCAATGGTCCTTGGTGCCTATTACAATTAGATATATATTGTATGCAGGGAAATTTTTGTCCAAAAGAGTCCATAATTGTTTTATTATATAGTCGGGATTTGAATTAATAAGACATTGAATGCTGTATGACGACACCATTTTCATTTGCGATCTTCCATTGTTGAAAATTAAAAAAAAATCTGATTACTGTTTGTAACCTCCGTGTTTTCCTTTCCGAGTTTCGCTATGTGTAAGACGGCTGAAATAGGTTTGAATAATTCAGTAAATGCGGCCGTTGCAACCATCGTTTACAACGTTGTTTGATATTTTGATTGTGACGTCACAACACAGCATTATTTTGTATGAACAGATTATATAGGGACTATAAATAGACTATATAATAAAGATATATATTGTATGCAGGGAAATTTTTGTCCTCGTTTTAATTTTGCCCTCTTTATAATTAAGGCAATTTCAAAATGGGGCAAGTTCAAAGAACACAGCATTATTTCGTAATCAGAACTAAGTTTAAAACGGCAAAATTCTTTGCAAGTGCAAAAATAAAATCACTAGAGGTGAAATTAACCCTGTATACAGTATTTTCAAATGGTGGTGTCTCCAAGTGAGTAAAAAATTTTCAAAAAATTGGACAAATATTGAAAATTTGGACAAATATTGATCAAAGAATTGAGTTTATGTTCAAATGGCCATGACATGTGCATAAAAATGGAATATAATGAAAAAAATTTGGTTAAATGTCATACATTTGAACATCAGAGAATTAAAAATGTCTGTATATTCTAGAAATTTATTATTTGCCATTAGCAAGAAGCCAAAAAATATATACCAATCCAGGCATCCATTTTTTGTTTGTATCATCTGTCCTTAACCAAATATTTATACGCACACGTCATGGCCATAAAACAGTTGTCCTTTATATAGGTTCTATTTAATAAGTATAAAACACAGCTGGTGATGGACAATTTTGCTTCTCTGTATTTTAGCCTAATTTGTTTTATCAGGTGTTAAGATAAAAATACATTCTTATAATCATGCCGAATAAAAATCACTTCACTCTAAGCATCATTCCATTATAAGAGTGTTCGCTAACAGCTTGTTTTACTGTGATCAACTTTGAAATCCTTAGAACAATTTTTTTTTTGCATTTCAAACCAGTGGCAATCTAATTTAAATTAGATGTTAGATCCGCTCACATACATACTACACTACCATCTAACAACATCCCAAAGAGAGGGTCACGTCACAGATCAAATTGGGAACAACTCGATCTAGACATATTCGCTTCAACAAATATACGACGATTTTGCAGGTAAAGATTTGATTGTTAATAGAATTTGAACTCTGACATGACTTTCTTTGGGATGTTGTTAGATGTTTAATGTATCGAGTATGTGAGCGGATCTTGCATCTAATTTTAATTAGATTGAATGAGTGGTAAAAATAATTAAAACACAAGCAAATAAATGAGATTGACTTTTATATAAATTTTCTCTTTAATGACATGCATTCAATCTGAAATCACACATTTTTAACACTAGCTCACATATACATATAATTCTTGCTGTACCACAAAACTAGGTTATCTCCCCTCTCTGGAAGTCATGAAAAAAATAACACATCTCATAGATAATGCTTAAAAAGCACCAAAGCAATGGTGGGTTTTCATACAGTTCTAATTAATTGTGTGAATTTATTGAAGTCTGCCAGACTTCCAAGAAGGGGGTTTTATCTACCAAGGTTACATATCTCTTCTACAGATATTGTCAATACATTGTACATTATGGATCCTCTTTATTAACATAAAATTATTGCTTTCAAATTATTACAGTTAAAATATTATAATTTCATAAACATACTACTGGTATGGGAAAAGAGAAAAAAAATCAAAATTCAGGAGCATAATTTGATATGTTTGGGGATGGGGAGGGGGGTGGGGGGAGAGTTACTTGAAGAGTCAATTGGGAAATACTTTTCTGTTTAATGTTTTTCTTTTGATACTTTTGGATTCTTTGAAAATAACTCAATATTTATTCCGGAGAATCTTAACTCAACATGATTTCTGTCCAAAATGTTTTTTTTTTTCATTTAAATCATAAACATTTATTCAAAGTACCATGAGTACTGCAATATTAATCTGTCCAGTTTGGAAATTCATATAGTCCCATCTGATTTTGCTGACATAAAATAAAAAAAAAATACTTTAAATATTGATGAAAATAAATGTTTTCCCTAAAAAGTTACTCATATTCCATCATTATCAGTATTAAATGTATGGACTTAAAATTACATTGTGTATGACAAAATATGACACCTAAGTTGTAGAAAAGCAAGATGCAGTTAATATCAGTCATTATGAATTCATACCATAATCATACAAACTTCAAACTATCAGACACACAAAATGGGTGTAGTATGACAAACTATGACGTAAAAGATTAGAATCACTTTCATAAAACCTTTCACTTTCATTCACTCTGTAACAATGACACTTCTGAAAATTTCCTTATTTTCTTTGAGGACAGCCAGCCAGACAAAATCATACACGTAAAACTGGAGAACGGTAAAAACAAGAAATCAGCGTGGGGTTAAAAAGGGATTCTGTGACGCATGTAAAACATTAAGATTGAAAAAAATACAATGGCAGCACTCTATATAAAATCTGTAGACCCTTCTGAGAAGTTCATCACATAGGAGTCCTTTTACTTATTGCTATACAAGACTACAAAGCAACAACTTCATCTTCTAAGAAAAATTTACCACATTCTTCTTCCACTTTATAGCAATGTTTTTTTCTCTCTCTTTAAATCATTTTGCATATTTGTTTGAAAAAAAATGAAACTAATGGCTGCCTTGTTAATACTGCAGCCTACATAATATTCAAATATAAACAAAACACATTGGTTAATGCCGTCAGTGGGCGGAGCTAACGACTCAGGAATCGGGGTCAAGCCTCTGGAATGACGTTCCTAAGTGTCTCGTAGGTTTCACCATCTTTTCCCGCGCTTCTCTTCGCCCGTCCTCTTTGTGATCAAATTCGCAATTGTGAAGTTCCGGCAAACGATGCAGAGAACAGAATACATAATCTGTAATAGAAGCCATGATTTAATTAGCTTGTTGTAATGGCAACACAAGCTTAATGAAGTATGTCAAGTGCAAAAAAAAAAAAATATGTAATCAATACAAGTGCAACTATTGTCTAACACATACATGTACAATGTATGTAATCTTAATACTTATATTGATATTAAGTAAATTACCCTATTACATCTGCTGATTTTTATGATATATACTAGTCGTTCACATATAAATTTAAATCTAATAGTATTAGCCCAATATATCAGTAAATGGCTATTTTATACATGATATAATATCTGCTTATTTTTCGGTATCAGTAGATATCAATATACTAAATAGATGATTATCAGTAGATATCAATGTACTGATATATCATAACCCACTGATCAGTATCATTATACTGAAAGATAAAATATCAGTAGAAATTGGTACACTTTACATTAATATTAGAACACATATATATCAATATCAGTAGATATCAGTTCACATAATATATAATCAATATCAGTAGATATCAGTACACTGACATATGACCCCGCTATACTGACCACATTTACATCTGCCAATCTGCCTTTGAGCCAGCTCCAGTTTACATTTACACTGGTAACAGCGTTTCTTATTTTTCTGTCCTTTTTCTGGCGTTGACTCTGGAGTTTCCGTTTCTTTGTCCACTTCTGATATATCACTGCAAAATTGTTGTAAACATGATATTTTGATTTTTTAAAAGTACAATTAATAATCATTTGGATGCTCTTGGAAATCATTAAACAAAATTTTTTTTCAGAAATTGTAACATTATAAAATCTAATGAAAAAATATAGATTAAATTGCTACATTGTAACAATTGTCTCAATTTATGGATTATCATCTGACAAAAACTTGATTTTTGCATCAAATAATGTGTATCTATTGTTTGTGTACCGTTTAACCCCCCTTTTCTCGGGTGTATCCGGAGCCGGTGAATGGGAGGAAGACTGGGGAGGGGGGGATCCGGTTTCTGAGGGAGTGTTTTCTGGACTTTGTTCAGAATCCTTGGTTTCCTTAGAAACACTAGAGTCTTTTAAGCTCTCACTTATTAACTGCTGGGAAGAACAGGGCTGTGATTGGCTCTCTGTGAGAGAACTGCTGTTACTTTTGCCTCCCTCCAGACTTATGCTATGGCTGGTTTGTTTTGCACCCTCCATATGACTGTGTCCACTTTGTTTCATCTGTCTGGCAGTTTCTAAGGAAAAAAAACAATACAGATTTTACAAATCAATACTTAACAAAATACAATATACAGTTATATTACTCTCTATCAGAAAAGCCTATACCGTTAGTAATTTTTCTTGATAAATATATCGAAAGTTGTAACTTGCTAATCCAGTCCTAACCTAAATTTGATAAATTATGGTAAAGATATTACATTTCTTTTCCCCCCAAAAAATTGCTGAAATATTGTCGACTTGGCTTTAAACAATATCAATCAACATTTGTATTAAAATGTAAACCTTCGGTAGGAGATCAAATTTATACAGTGATGGCAGAGACAATTCCTGTCATTATTAAGATAAAATTAAAAACCTTCCTTCTCAAAATGGAATTAAAACAAGGAATCTGTGAGCGAATGCTCACTAGTAAACCCCCACTCTGATGTAAATAAGCACCATCATGTTAATATACTGTTTACACAAGTTCAATTACAGGCAGATGAAGTTGACATGAGATTCATATCAAAATTAAACCCACCATATGACATGCCTCTACAAAGTCGGTAATAAAATTTCAAGCATCTGCTATGAAAATTTAATGAGAAAACTGCTATAAAAATACAGACGCACAGACAAACAGGAAGTTGACATCAGATTTAAACAAAAATGTATCCCACCATATGACATGCCTCAGAGAAGATTTTGTTAAAATTTCAAGCATCTACATTGAGTAGTTGCTGAGAAAACTGCGACAAAAATTTGTTATGTATGAAATGGATAGACGCACAGACAAACAGGAAGTTGACATCGGATTTAAACAAAAATGTATCCCACCATATGGCATGCCTCAGAGAAGGTTGTGTTAAAATTTCAAGCATCTACATTGAGTAGTTGCTGAGAAAACTGTGACGAAAATTTGTTATGTATGAAACGGACAGACGCACAGACAAACAGGAAGTTGACATCGGATTTTAAAAAAAATGTATCACACCATATGGCATGCCTCAGAGAAGATTGTGTTAAAATTTCAAGCATCTAACTTGAGTAGTTGCTGAGAAAACTGCGACGAAATTTGTTATGCATGAAATGGATAGACGCACAGACAAACAGGAAGTTGACATCGGATTTAAGCAAAAATGTATCCCACCATATGGCATGCCTCAGAGAAGATTGTGTTAAAATTTCAAGCATGTACGATGAGTAGTTGCTGAGAAAACTGTGACGAAAATTTGTTTCAGACGGACACACAGACAGACACACAAGGGTAAAACAGTATACCCCCCTCTCCTTCGGAGCGGGGGTATAACTACAGATTGAAGCAAGACTTGGAAATGCTTTATCTACATTTAATATACATAATGTGACTTTGATGCATGTTTAATCTGTCTAAATGGTCTAGCCATGAACTTCATCAATGCATTATTTGTAGCCATTGTTGGAAAATTCTTCTTGCAAATATAAACTGCTGTGACAAAACAAGCTGTATTTGATTTGATGCTGAAGTCTCTTTTCGTGTGACAGCGAAGCATGGAGAAACTTCATGTCTTCTGATCAATGCAAGATGGCAGAATCAGTATCGGGTAAACTATTTTTACCTTATTTTTAAATATCTTATTATGATTCAAGGAAACAAAGCTACCTAAAGGATAACAGGAACGTATACTGATCCATGAATTGCTCCACAACTCACAAAATTAATCTCATGGATCATTATGACCATTTTTTTTTCAAAGTTTATGTGAGCACTGAGGGTATTTTTTACTGTGACAATAATTTTCATTGCAACAACTCAGGCATTTTTTTCAGTGACCACGCATTTTTCAATGTGACAATGCAAACATTTTTTCATTGTGCCAAAACACAGGTTTTTTTTTTTTTTTTATCAAAATGACAAATCAGTTTGACAATGCAGACATTTTTCAGTGTAACTTGCATTTTTTGTGACAATTTTGTTTTCTCCTGGAATACAAACCTGGAGAAATGAGATGATCTGGTGTAGTCTGTAACGCATCATTGGTTTTCTCTATGTGTGCTGAAACAGTAACAATCAGAATTCTGAAGCTGTACTTCATGAAGTTTGTTAAAAAAAAATAATATGAGCATTGATCATTTTCTGCTTCATAATAGAAATTAAAAAGAAATGAACAGAGCTCCAGATAATTTTTTACCCTAAAGTGTATTTACTCCCTGATTTTCAAATCAATGCAGATTTTGATTTTCATTAAAATGATTACAGATTATTTTGTTTATAATGTTTGACGTTTATTTTAATTTTGAGCTTGTACTTGAAGTTCAAGTTTTGAAGAAGGAAAAAACGTTAAAATTCGGTTACTGTATTTATTTAAATAAATTTTTCAAATACCAACAAGACTTTCTGTTGTTTTTTTTGACAAGGAAGATTGTACAGTAGGTCAAGGTCAAGGTACCATAGAGTCAGAGAACTTTTCCTTCATTTAAGATATTGTATCAAGAGTAAACCGAGAGAAAAGAATCTTCGTTAATATGGCAAGTTGAGAGAGATGAAAAATTGGCTATGAACCCATAAGAATAAAATAAAATATACCAAGTGTATAGTCTTTCTACATAGAAATTGATTTTTATCTAAATCTCTTGATATGGAGATCGTCGTCGTCAATACTAGAATATTCCTGGTCACTAAAAGGATTTTTAATCTGTACATCGTTTTGAGAAAAATCAAACACGGAGTTAACCTCTATTCGTATCGTTAAGTAAGTCGTACCTGTATTTTTCAAATTGTTGTATGCAGTACTTTTGTGATGTGATGCGTATCTATGATTGCTAATGCATAATTGTACGCTCTATTTTAATTTTCAATGCATAATATGTAAAATTTAATGCGTATTTACGCAAATACGCACCTTATCTGGAGCTCTGAATGAAGATATTTGTAAGATATGGACATACCAGTAAATAACACATTTATTTATTTTTTATAATTTTAGCATTTGCAAGAACAAGTAGATTCACATCTGATGTAAACTGACACTTGTTTATTCATAATTACAATTTTACTGATAACACTTCAGTTTATGTTAAGTCTTACACAAAAACCTACATTTGTAACATTGTGAACAAAGGCCAAGGGTACTGGAAGACCTGCAAATATAAACAAAATTAAAAGCATTATAAATAAACTCATATTCACACAAATACAAAAAACTATATAGTCTAAGCTCTCATTACGAGCCAAGATGAGGAGTATTTGTCCTTCAGTAACATAATGCAAAAAGAATAGTTTTATTCACCATGTTGAAAGAAAATCATAATAATCATAATACCAGAAAATCATAATAAAAAATAAATACATGATATGAAAAAAACTGATATCATTAGACTATAAAAATCCCAATGTAAACAATGATTGCATAATCAGATATGTATGATATGTCAATATATATAGTACACAAACTACACATTTTATTCATCTCGGTGTTGGGGTTAGTCTTGAAAATGCATTTTATCGCAAACTCTCCTCCTAGCACCATTCCTGTCTTTTGACGGGCTGTGGTAACACGTAATCACCCTGCAACAAGAGCAGGCCTACCCCAACTTGTGTCATGAGGAATTGATCTGATAAATTTGATTGATAAAGCTACAAGCCCGGATGTTCAAGTATTTTTCATCCTTAAATAAAAACTAAAACGTATCAACTTGTTGTATCACACTATTTCTTTTCACTATTCTGCAAAATAGTTGAATTATGGGCGCAGATTCAACAAAACAAGTCCCAACCCACACCAATAAAATCCTAGCGACCCAGACCTGTCCGAGATCAGCTTTCGTCACGGTGGTGATTCAGACTCTTCTGCGTGATACTTACCCCCAAAATCCACACGGACAGCGGGGCTGGTCGTTACTCTTCGATTTCTCCATCACCTATTCCGGTACCATGGGAAATATTCCTTTTCAGGGAATTTTCTCCTAGTGACAGAATGACAATCGACAGCTGGTTGTTGTCAGTTCGAGGCTGTAAAATACTTCCGGTTCAAGGTTCATTTCTTTTTCAAAATCTGAGTTACTTCCCTTAGACCATTATATCACGATTTGGAAATACTTTAGGCCATAAGTCTTAGAGTAGGACATTCCCATACAAACAAACAAACAAACAAATAAATAATAAATAAATAAATAAATAAATAAATAAATAAATAAATAAATAAATAAATAAATAAACTAGAGCCGAGCTCGTTGCAAAGCAACGAGTAGGTCTTCCGTTGGAGCTGTGGACAGGAAGTACAGACCTTGGGTCAAGGTTACTGCACTTTCTAATGTGAACAACCTTTCTTCTCAGTATGAGCCTCCAGTGAATCTTAATTACAAAGTTTTGCTTAAACATTTTTTTCTCTGTCAGTGACCTTGATTTGCCAGAAAGTCCTTTGATCAGGGTCATGACACAACCTCCAATCATAAGTAATCTATGTTTCAAGAGCCTCCAATGATTTTCACTAACTAGTTCATAGCGTGGAAAAGAAAAGATTTCTTCTGTCAGTGACCTTGAATTTAACAGAATAACCTTGGCTCTTTGTCAAGACAAACCCTCAATCTGAAACAACTTTTAGAAATTCATAACTCTGACAGGTGTTTTACAACTTTTCTGTCATTGGCCCTAAATTTGTTAAAATGACCATATTTTAAGTCATCTGAAAACCAGCGGACTATAAGCAATTTGTATCAAGTATGGACTTAAACAAATATAGGCAGAATGAAAAAAAATACTGTTTTCTGAGTCAAAATCGTAAAAAAAAAAACTTTTTGTCACAAGCAATCTCTGTATCAAGTATGAGCTTACAGCTATTCTCGATTACATATAAATGAATGCAACAAAACATTAATTCTTTCTCCAGTGACCTTGAATTTGCCGTACTATTGCCTTGAATAAATACAATGACACATCCTAGGATCACTTGAAATCTTTTTATCGAGTACAAGCTTCTGGTTTCTTTATGCTATAGCCTGACCTTCTGGGAAAGACTTGAAAGGGCAGACAGACATATGGACAGTTAAACAGACCGTTTAATTCCAATTCCATCCACAATATCCCCCCCCCCAAAAAAAAATACACAAACACTTTGCAAGGGAAAACTCTAGTCATGATTTGAAAAAAAGTAATCTTTTTTATATCAGGAAGCTTTCATAAATATGGTTTCTCATTCTTGCCCTGAAGTTCGTAAGAATAATACTTAATAAAACGACCCCTTCTTATTTTTTACTAACGGTTTTCTTCATTGTTTTCATTTTATATCTCCCAAGGTCGCCCGCATAGCGCAGTGATTAGAGCGTCTGTTCTATGGTAGCGAAGTAAGGAGTTGATCCTTACGTCGTGGTTCGAATCCCACTGTGGGACGTGGGGACCTGTCCTACCGATGAGACCGTATAAAACAAGGTCCTGTGTCGCTTTTGGTGCATTTAAATCAATATTGGTTGAAGTAAAGTAACCGCAGATCGCCAGTCCTTACGCTATGAATCGTCAAAACGAAAGTAAAATTACACATTTAGCTAACGAACTATAAAAATTGAAGACTGATTAATGTACATGTAAAATAAATACCCCAGCGTTTTGTTCTAAAGTCAAACCTAAGATATTTTAAAATATTTTTGAAAGATTCTATTTACTTACAGAAAATAATGTTTTCCGTAAGTTTGTAAAATAAGATTTTAACATTCGACCACGCTGTGTAAATTAATATCAACAAGCGATGGAAAGAATGGTTGGTCGCGTAATTGTAAACAAACACAAAACCAAGATAGCTGTTTCAGATAAACATGTATCACGATCAAATTTAAAACGAAGATAAGCCAACATTATATGAACATATTAATCTCAAATATCCGACAATGATAATTTTCCATTAAGGATATCCGATCCTCAGCCAGGAAGGATAACTCCAAAAATTAATATTTAATTTGAAATGCATCAAAATGAAGCTTGAAAATGAAATTTTTTCATGCAACAATTTTCATTTTATTCATCTTTATAAGATTCAAGGTCTTTGGAAGTCTTAGAGAAAGATCTTATAAAAGTTGACATTTGTACCGTATAAAAGGAGAAAAAAATTATATAGTTTTAGAGAAATAAGGTTTTCTTGATTCCAGCGTTATATACCAATGATTATTAGCATGATATGAAATGAAAAGTGAATTGTGGTGTCTTTCAATGATAGCAAAAGCGTTTTACACTATGTACTATAGAATACATGACGGAAATAGAAGACAAAAACTGCCAAATAACTATGAAAATCATGACAATTTCTCTGAATGCCTGGATACCTATCGTTTTTTTAACCTAAAATATATTTGTTGATCAGTTTGCAATGAGAAAATGTATTGCTGATATTCCAATTCGCTTTTTCTGCAAAAATATTGGGAGATTTGATAATTTTCCCTATATAATATGATTTACTTTAATCTATAACTTTAAAAAAATATTGTGGATAAATTTACATAACTTTGTGGATTCAGAGATACTTTTATGAGTATTTTTGATTACTTAACTGCTAATTTTATATACCTGAGGATCGGACTACCTTAATTGTGATAATTGTGAAATGGTTTTAATACACAATTATTTTGCCAATGACTTCGGGGTCAAAGGTTCGCCGCGGCGTGTCGCTTTAGATTTTCTTGGACGCATGTAATCGCAAGATTACGCAATGGTCAGCACACTTAAAATCTGAGTTCCAAGTGAATGTGAGAATTGCGCAGTCAATATTTTTTGTATTATTTGACTCTTTGAAAGTTTTTTTTATGAGATCCGGGCGTGTATATGGTTTTCGTTCATAGTGTTTGTGTTCATACTTTAACGAAGAAAAGATACTCGTGTTTTTTTCTAAAACTCTTTCTCTTGGAAAGATCTTGATTAATTAAAGGAAAGTGATGCCATTGAATACTCTGAACGGGAACCAAAGAACACGTTTAGAACCTAATTAAATAAAAGAGATATGATACAGCATTGTAAAATATTTATTACTTAGGGCAAGTTTACTTCAATTCTGGGCATAAAGACTACAGAGTTTTCCTTCAAAAGCAAGATGAGAACTGTCTAGCTTTCATTCCTATAATACATAAGACTCAAACAAAATAATATTTTCATAGGACAGAGATAGTATCAAGATGCAATTTTATATATTAAAAAATGAATTTAACCATTCTGTGTTTTTATTTGTGTATAACTGTAGGTCGCTGGATTACCCGTCGATTGATTCCCGGTGACGGACTTTGCCCCGCGCTATCGAGGGAGGCGTGTTATATAATTGTAAACAAACAAGGTGAATGTAATCGGAAAAACGCTACCTGTTTACCTTGCCTGCTTACGCAATATTCCAGGCATAATCGAACAAAACAGCATTTTCATCAGATCAAAAAGGTGTAAAAGAACAATTTTGTTCGTAAGATCTAGATCGAAATATTTACCGTTTTTGAGTTATAAAGCAAAAACTTTCAAGTTCCATAGAGCCCTAATTATAGGGGCCAGCCCCTTTTGAATATTATTATATGAAAGCCCTTCTAATTATGCACAACTTTTGTTCATTATGTCTTAACAAAATATTTTTAGTTTTCAAGATAAAAAGGAAAATATGTGTAAATTTTCGTTCTTTAAGGCGTTCTAATTTTTGACCCCTATATAGCGCCATTGTTAATACAGAAATCGAAAAACAAAAACCGATGTGCACAACTTCAATCCTTCTGTTACCAAAAATCAGTAAAAATTCTGCTTCAGCTTTTGTGGTCTCTGAGCCTTTATCCGGAAACGAAAGCCTATAAATTTTCGTTTAAAGGGAAATAACTCAAAACCGGAAGTGATTTTTTGAAATTTTAGTCAGCATTCTGGTAGAGTTTAGAAACGTCTATAACCTCTGAAAATTTGAGCGAAATCCGTTGAGAAATGAGTGAGATATGAAGCCTCACAGTTGGCGGTCTAGGAAGTAGAAGAAAAAAAAAGAATAATAATCTTTACCATCAGAATCAGTAGAAGGTCTTCCGTTGGAAACGGAAGACCTTAATAAATAAATAAATAAATAAATTACATAGGTAACTAAAAAAGAAAAAGGAACAATTATATTAGATGATTCTTGTTTCTCAATTAGGAAATACTGATTTATTTGATATCCCCGCCCTTCGAAAATGTCTTTAAAATGTAGTAAGTTGTACCTCATGGAACCATAAGCGCTTGGTTTCAGGATAATGTATTATGTTTTTTTCTAGGTCTGAATACCCTCATAAAAAAAAATTCTTTTAAATTAGCACGTTTCAAAAATGTCATTTTCACTGTACATGTAAAATATGACATTTTTAAAACGTGCTAATTTCAACGAATTCTTATTTTTATTTTAATGAGGGTATTCAGCCGCACCTAGAAAAACACATTTACACAAAATACACTATCCTGAAACCAAGCGCCTATGCATGTACAACAGGAATTTCTTCTTTCAGGCCTAATACATATACTAAAGTATGTACTTTAAAAGTATAAAGAAATTGAGGTTAATCATAATGGATAGACTCATAGAGCCAAAATAACATGTATAGCCTTGAAAATGTTAGTACATGTATGTTCAGTTACTCAGAAATATTTGTTTTAATATTAAGCAAGCAATCAAGAGAAAAAGAGGTCTTTCTCTAGTAGATCTTTGTGGACTTGAGGATGCTCTTTGTCACACAATTTTTTAGAATAATTTAAATATATCAATCAGAAGTATTACATACTTTTCTTAACATTATTCAGGTTACTAATTTAAATGTAAATCTATGAGAAATATTGCTGATTTCTGAAAAAAAAGTTTGTGTTATGTATCCTTAATTTAAATAAATGTCTTTCCACAAATTTATTTAAAAATAAAAATACTACATAATTTATTTTTAAATAAAATTTGTGGAAAGACAGTAATATGATGATATTTGTATCATATGTGTTAGTTTATACGCTTAATTAAGAATTTTCTTATCATACTAAAACTACGATTGGTTCTTTAAAAATAAGGGAATGCGTATAATTTCTTAATTCTACAAAATCATTCAAAATTGTATTTAAAAACCAAGTACATATAGATACATAAAAATTAATAAAATACATCACAAAATTTCGGAATAAATAAAGGTATAGATAAACAATTTCTACGACTGAATATTTGGGAAAAAAATTGTTACAATGTGTACATGACGTTTGCTATTTATAAGTCATACAATTGTGTAAAACGATGTCAAAAAATTATAGTTAATATTCGAATAAATAAATATATAGTCGATAATGGGAAAAAAAATTACGGAGAAGACGCCTTTCACTTCCAAATTTTGTTAGTGAAATAAAAAATTTGTGATTACTCCATAAAGGGAAGAGAAGTTTTGTCAATTTGACAAATGTATTTTGTGGGTAGCATGGGACAAGAACAAGTGTTCAAATATGTGGTTTATCATTTTCTCTTTTAATATAAAAGAGAAGTTGTGTTTTCAAGTTTAATGTTTTATTTTTATAGCCGACAATAATAATGTATAAGGAAACCAAACGTTCACATGACGTTATTTCACGCGACATGTACCTATAAATGACGTCATAATCCAAATGTCAATTTCAAATAGGGTTATAGAAATGAACACGTACAAAGATAACAAAGACGATGAGAACTTCGCTGAAGCGACACGGGTGACGTTTGACGATTTTTACAGACTGATCCTAAGTGACGACACAGATGAGGTTGAGCGAATTCTAACGAGCGGGGAAGAAATCAACCTTAACACGATTCACCAACAGAACACTCCCTTGGAACAAGATGGGCAGGGGCCTACTGTCCGGATGCCGCTCCTTCACCTTGCCTGTATGTACAAACGTCTGAAGATTGCCGAGTTGTTTTTGGATTACGGCGCAGATCCTCTCTATAGAGACGATAACGAGCAGAAGACCCCCGCCTGGACTCTCCTCATGTACTGGATGGTACCAGACCTGCCAGTGAACACGGTGTCGTGCGACGAGGAGGATGTGGATGAAATACAGAAGGCCTTTATAAGGAATCGCAGACGACACCTTTGCACCGCCACTTCCCTTCTGGATATGCTTCTTGAGCATTCAAATGATCCAGACCAACCAAGCATTACTAAGGGAAGGACCTTGTTACATTTGTGTGCTCAAAGAAACTTGGTCAATCCGATTGAACATCTGAAAAAGTTCAAAGCCTCCATGAATGAGCGGGACCAGGATATGTATACTCTGGCGATGCTTGCTGCCTTTCACGGAAACATGGAAAGTCTCATGGAGATGCTGCGTCTTGGGGCGAGTACACGAAAACGGGACAACGCAGGTCGTAACATTGTCCACATCTTAGCGGGCTCTGAAAGAATCACGGCAGCGCAGATGGCATTCATGTTCAAGAAGTTTCCTTCTGTAACGGAAATTATCAACGAACAGACACACAATGGAGAAACTCCTCTTCACCATTGTGTCGTGCGCGGAAACGGCGAGAAAATTCACTTGCTGCTCTCTAATGGCGCCAAAAGTTCCATCAGAGACGTATATGGCCAGACACCTTTGTATCTTTTGCTAAAATTACATAGTATAGTTTGTGTCTATCTGGGCTTCATGACATTGCTTTCAGAAACAACCCAGTTGAGCCTAAAGGACGCCGAAGGAAACTATCCAATCAAATTGATGGAGGACTCCCCACGTCACGTGAGGCGGAAGTTGCTAAAGATGAGCCGCAATGCACCCCGCCTGTACTTCCTCTGTTTACAGAAGATGCACAGCTTACTGGCCAAGCCGCAGGACGTGTCTACCACCTCCAACATGTACCGAGACAGTAAAATGGTGTCCATCACGGACGCCCTCAAACTGGACTGTCCGAGAGAGCTCGTTATGGACATCCTGACCTACAAGCATACCATGCGCAACAAATGGTCCCACCTCATGTTTAGGCACCTATGAAGAAGAAAGAATGAAAGTTAAAGCATTTAATTGATATATGTAATATAAATTTATTGAAAAGTTTTTTAGATAATAAAACACAGTCTTTTTCTTATGCTCATCCCCCTTCTTTTACTTAAAAAAATCCGTTTCCAACATTATAGTATTTTTGTTGACGAATATGGACGTACAATACAATAGAAGTTTGAATGACAATATAGCCACTCATCAATGTACTTGTAGAAAAAAAAACTCGTTTAATTTATCTGACAACATACATCCATTAATGAGATAAACAATCTAGGCACTTGGACCAGAGTTGTTTAGATTTAAAACAAATGCTTGTTGGACCTACTCATCATCTAAGTTTTTATGTGAAATAGTCTGAATGATTTTATTATATCGTTCATGGTGGTCTATTTACTTAAACCCTTGATTCCGATAACACAATCCTAGCATTCATTCTGTGTGAATAATTTAACAGTTAAAAATGTAAAACATACCGTTTCATTTCAATGCTAAGAAAAAAAAATTGAATTGACGTCATTTAAAGGAAGCAGTTGAAATGTTGACGTCACGATTGATGACAGACTGACTCAAAGAGACCGGAAGAAAGGATATCTGTACTCAATCCGGGTTTACATCTTTTTATTCTTATCTGTATGTCAAGTACACGACTATCCTGACTGACCGATTCCCTGGATTTACAGTAATATGACATTGAGCTAGGTCCCCTAAAGATTTCTTTCTCCGCAAACCACGGAAGAAGGTAGTTGCCAGGTAGGAAAAAAATTATCTGGCGGCCGCCACATAAATAACTGGTGGCCGCTACATAATTTTTTTTTTACCTGGCACCTGCCTGGCAAACAAATACCTTAGTTCTTTCTCTTTTTTTCAAAAAGGAATTTAACAAATTCTGTTGCCAAGGAAATTTTATTTATTTTGTTTTCCAACCGTGAAAATCTAAAATTGAACAAAACGGTTTTGCAATAAATCATAAAATTCAATATGCTAATTACCTGTAAATAAAACCATTTTAAAAATTATACTGCAATAAAACTATTGCATGATGTGTGAGTTTTATTATCGTCATTATACCATAAAATCTCAGTTGATGATCAAGATAAAAATTAATGACTTTGGTATGCACCCGTCTCCTGTTTCTTATAATTATGTTGGTTACGAAGTTTGCGTCTGGAGCCTTACGTTCTAGAATACTGTCCATACCTACACCCAATTAGTGCATTCTGACGATTGTCGGCCTTCTGGCATGATGGAAATAAAGCATCCTTCACAAACAACCATGTACAATCACTATATATTATAATCTTTAACGAGTGAGGAAATAGAGACATGACGAATTATTTTTTGTTTTTTTAGCTATGCCCCCCGTGTAAACTGCGTTTCTTTTGCGGCGAAGTATTGATTTGTTACGGCATTTGTCTGGTTCTTGGTAAATCATTTTGTCAGTTAGACTTGTAGAATGGAATTTAGTCCAATTAACTTCCATAATAAACCGAGTGTAACCCTTAATAAAGCCGTAATCGATCTAAACGAATGTCATGGGGATTTAGGGATTCCCAAAACGTAACAATGCTAACGAGGGAGACGCAAAATATTCGGTCAGGTTTCTCTGTTGTCCAAATCCTATATCCTCACAGAAATACATTACGTCCATTTGTCAGTTTCTCATTCTATAAAAAAAAAGATGGGGAGGTTTGGATTACGGTCAGACAGACAGACAGACTAGCATCGAGTTCTTTATCTGGTTTGATTTAAAAGAGCATTAAAGGTTGAATAAGTGGGGAAAAAAAAGAAGAACTAAGGCCCCTACTACGGTTTGGAAGTTACCGATAGCTATATTGAAAAATTTATGAACGTATATTCTGAAAAAAAAATCTGAAGAACTATTAGAAAAGATCAAATCATTTTTTTTCCTGCTCAAAGCCAACCAAATATTAAAGATGAGTTTTGAATAATTTTAGACATTTTACTCACAGAAATGTTTAAAGATGGGACCTTCTGATACACTAGTATCACAGATATTTTTTAAAATCTAAATTAATGTAAAAAAGTGAAGATAAACTGCTGTGATCGATCTCAAATACATGTATATAAATAATACAAATATGTACGATGTTCTCGGTGCTCGGAAAGAAGCAAAAGACGCTTTTCAATAATTTATAGTCTGAATGATTGAATTTAAATATTCTATTTGAATTAAAACACATGTACGTAAATTTTTGTCCAATTTCTTTGTTGAAATTGGTGATTGATCAAATATTCTCGATATACTTGTATCTGAATGTCGAACTGAAGGCCACATCTATACATGTAGTTAGTGTTTTCCTCATCTGGTGAATTCAGAATTAATTGATATCTTGTGATAAAAACTTACTTGATTTTTTTAATACATGGAATTCATTTCAATTTATTCACGAAATTAATTTGAAACTTTTTTTTCATAATCAATTAAACAGCTCCTGACTTAAATGGATGATAAAAGGCTAACCCGTTTATTTTGTTTATGTTCAAGTCTCGTTCAGAGTTACATTGGTAAATTTATGGTCATTAGAAATATTATACAAGAATTAGTAAGACTTCATGAAGAATATGGTCATAGCAGGCAAGGTTTTAACAATAAAATCTCTTTTTGTAAGTCATGTTTGATTCCAATGGGCATAAAACTATGCCCCTTTATTTGACGAAATGTAAAAAAAAGTCTTTAAATGGAGTCTCTGTAGTTTTGCCTCAAAGCAAGGAATATATAGAGCATCATATAAAGTTACTTTGTTTAACATCCCCAAGTCTTTACAGAAGTAGGGTGGTGGAGAAGTCCCCCCCCCCCTTGAAGTATTAATGTAGTTTTTAGATATACATGTACATGTATACCCATATGTAACTCAGCTCCCATGCTTCATGTTTAATTACATTTAATTACATTTAAAATTTCAAAAAAGTTTGAAACCGTCTAAGTTAAGGTTTGACTGTTTATTTTCTTTCTATTTGCCAAAAGACGTACATGTACTGATGATTATTGAGAGAGAGAGAGAGAGAGAGAGAGAGAGAGAGAGAGAGAGAGAGAGAGAGAGAGAGAGAGAGAGAGAGAGAGAGAGAAACTGCTTAAACATATACACTGTATATGCATAGTCGGAAAATGTTTAAAATGAAATATATGGAGATAAAGAACAGTATTGAAGCTCAAACACCATTAAACAATACAAAATAGGAGCATAAGAAACACGGACCTCTAAAAAAAATGAGAGGTGGGATCAGGTGCCATGGAGGAGTGAGTATTCCCTGCCGAAAAGTCACACTCGCCGTATTTTCCTTGTCATGATCGTCAAATAACGGAAAAATCCGTCGTCAATTCAGTGTATAAGATATGGACTAAAATAAGTATGAAAAACGTTAGTCAGCATGCATTTGACTTCATAATGAATTAATTATTATTATTACTGAGAAAGCCATTCTATCGACCATAAAACTTACGAACTGATGACTTAAAATGAGACTACTGATATATTTGTTTCAGCAATTTGTTAATTATTTACTTCGTTTTAGAAATTGTTCATATGCAGAGCATGCTATTGCATTTCCAATTAACTGATATAAACCCCATTTGCAGGTGATGAAGGTATATTACTGCATAAAAATGGTAATTGACGATTGAAAAATTAAAGTCACCACGTTTATCGTAAAAGCTTGGTACTTAGATATTCATTTTCAAGTAAAATATCTAAATCTATGAAACAGATGTGTCAGACTGTGGTATCTTTTACTTCAAGCTCACTAGAATATATCGGATCAATATCGTAGTCGTATTATATACATGTACTAACTAGTGGTTTCTTTTAGAGAAATTGATTAACAATACAGCTTTTGAATTTAGCTCATACTTAGATGAATAAAAAGAAGTACACAGGTGAAATATTTTCCTTGTAACAAATATCGAACAAGCTCAGCAAAATTCATTTAATTGGTTTTAACTTCTACCAATGAAAGTACAAAGACAGTATCTCATAGATTCGCTTTCTATTTTTTTTTTTAAATTTGTTTAACTTTTCAAAAGATAGCACTAGAAGTTATGAATGGATAAAAAGGGTTATCAAATGGAAAGAAGATATTGATAAGAGTTTGATAGCTTTGGTAGAACATGAAAAAGCTGAAGTATCTTTAAAGGTACTTGAACACAGATTTGAAGTTAATATTTTCTCATTTTTTTCTGTATAATATCACGAATTATATATTTTAATAGCATTTCACACAAAAATTAATTAAAAATCTTATTTCATTTAAAAGTTATTAAAACTTTAATTTTTTTTTTTTTGGGGGGGGGGGTTGATTGACACATCCTTGCACTTTCACAAATTTTAACTTTATTCATAATTCTTAGGAAAAGTGGCAATTTTGATGTGTTTTAATGAGAAATATTAAAACTTTTATCAAGAAAAATAATTTTATTCAGAGTAGAAATGTTAGTAACCAAAACACCTTCACAAGTATCGTCATTCCGAACTAAGAGATGTGTACAGAGTTTAGCAAATCGAGCACACTCGTGTTATGTACACAGTTTTTGTAAACAGGGCTCGAGTTCTGTTATTGTTTATATCGTCGCTGTAATATCAAAATGTCGTAAGTCGATTTTTGGCGCGAAATTTTTATTGCTATTTTGGAATCTGCAATATCGAATACATGTTCTGTCTAAACGTCAAGTCTCTGGGCCAATTAGAAAGTGAGATACAGACGTGTGATAAAGGCGCGTATGTCCATTGGATGCATTATTTTTTTTCTAACAAAAGGTCGTACGTCTCTGGGCACTGACAAAGATGTCACTGGCAGTCTGATATCAAGGAAAAAATTATAATTTTAGTTAAATCTTTTATAATTTTTACTAAAAAATGTGTTCAACATACAAAACAAAGTATATTTATTTAATAAACAGAAAAATCAATAGAAAGATTGATGAAAAGTTGGATGCTAGGTTACTTCATTACAAACTGAATTGTTTTCGCAGTTTGTAACTGTAATCAATTTATGAGTATGTTAATTCATATAATACATTTTAGAGCGTTCTAATATCAGATCCGTATGCTTACAATACATTGCAAGGGTTTGCTTCAATGCTTTTCTGGAGATACGACAATTTGTACTGAAAAAACATCCAGGACAGAAAGGAAAACACTAGACATACGACATTTTGAAAAAAATTATGTTTTTTGTCTCTCCTGAAAAGTTGTGGTTTTTGACTTACGACAATTTGATATTACAGCGACGATATTTAGAATTCACCGGGTGCTTTCAATCGTCA